CAGAATGTTCCAGTAAAACCCTTTCAAGAAAAACCAAATAAGAGTAGGCTTTCTTAAAACTTGCAGTGATGGGGCCACAGTGGAAAAGGCCCCGATTTTTGTTAACCAGCTTGATAACTGCTCAGAGGAAGCCAAGGAGAAGGACCTCAGTTACTGATTTTAAAGGATGAGTAGGTTGGTGCAACTCTGCTTTTTTGGGAAGCATATCCACCTGCCTGGAGGGGAAACAAAATGTATATAAACTGAGACGGTAGAAAAGACTCAAGGGCTACAGCAGTGGTGGGGAGCATTCTGATTTGTTTCCTTTTGGTTCACAACATGCTCCCCAGATTCCAGATATGCCCACTGACTCTAAATGTTGCCTCAGCATAGCTTAGTTCTTCTCATTTGCAGGGTCATCCTGCGTGCATGTTTATTGTTTCAAACACTGAAACTAAATTGCAGAGACGGGCCATGCAGTCCTATGCATGTTTACGGAGACCTAAATGCAAGTAATTATGCATAATGTTGTAAATATAATTATATATATACACACACACACACATACATGTGTGTGTATGGGTATATATCCTTGCACGTAGAAAGCTGCAAGTATTCAAGAGGAAGTTTGTCCTGGAACACCAGTTTCTACATGGAAAAGTTTAGTGTTCCTCAGTACTTTGGAAAAAATAAGGTTTCGGGACTGTCCTGGACTTTTCTCTGCTCTTCTTTTCCCTGGCTTGCTAGTTTTCTCTTTCATTTGATTGTTTTTCTTAATAATTAAGAAACTGGAATACAATAAAAAGAGAATACAATTCAACAAACAATGGAAGTAAACAGAGCATTGTTTTTTGAAAAGGAAAATGAGAACTTCATCAGAAGCACAATAAAAACAGTAGGTTTCTGATTCAAAGCTAACATGAAAATAGGGTTTGTCTCCATTTGCAAAACAGGAAGTATCTCTCTCCATTCTGCTTGCTTCCAAAAAGAGGAACTCTCCTCCGTCCAGTAAAAAGATACTGACAAGTAAAAACCAGACAAAAGGTTAAAAAGGTATTGGTTTGGATAACATTTGCCTATGCTGATTTCTATTATGAAGTATTCAAATTTTAATTTACCAGTAAAGTCAAACCAGACGGCAGTTCTTGTATACTTCCCTGTTATTCAGGTGCTTTGAGAAATAACATCGCGCAGCCTTTAAGCTGCAACCTGGGCTTCTCCAGCAAGGCTTTGTCCTCTTCTCATTAGGCCACACAGCTCCCTTCCCCTAGGAGAGAAACCTATAGTGGTCGAACCAGCAATGAAAGGCCCCCTCATCTTTTCCTGGTCAGCCATATCTTACGTTCAGAAAACTCAAGCAGGTTCTTCAGCAGCTAGTTTGCCCACAAAAAGTCAAGGCCAGAATCCTTGAGAAGTTCAGCCCTGCCGAAAAGGTCCTCATCCCCGTAAGTCCATCACTCTGCCCACAGGGACTGCCTGAATGCATTTAAGGCAGTGTTGTCCAAACTTGGCCACTTTAAGATGAGTGGACTTGAACTCCCAGAATTCCCCAGCCAGCCATGCTGGCTGGGGGATTTTTTGAGGTCAAAAACACTCCTCTTTAACAGGCGAAGCTTTGTCAACACTGCCATTAATGCATTCACGCAGCCCCTTTAGTCAGAGTGG